ACGACTACGACTACAACTACGACTACTACTACTACTACTACTACTACTACTAATCTACTACTAATCTACTACTAATCTTTTACTACTACTACTACTACTACTACTACTACTACTATTACTACTACAACAACTACAACAACAACAACAACAACAACAACAACTACTACTACTACTACTACTACTACTTACTCTTGTCAAGTCATGCCTTCAACTGCAACGGCACGCCTGCTGGGGCCGGCTTCAGCAAGCGTCGGCAGAACAATCCAGGTAGTTGGCAGACGGACAAGTTCGTGGTGGCCATAGCGAGAATGACATGAATCAGACTTGTGCAACACAAAACAGTTGTACTTGCAGCACTGAGCCATCACCGTACATCATCGTGATGATCCTCGCAGTCGATCCCAAGCCCTACGCAGTGTGCCGATGAAGTGGCTCGTTGCAGCTTTGCTTTCTGGCGTTGTCGGTGTCTTGGCCTGGAGAGTGATGTGCCGACATTGGGAGGTTTTCTTTCCGTGCGAGGTTCTACATGGTTGAGGAACATCTCAGTATATGGGAGCTTGAGTTCGGCAAACCCAAGTTCCTGACATCTGAGACTGGGTGCGGGTTCCGGTTTGTGGCTGCATGCAGCGGCTACAGGAACAAGGGTTTTCAGCAGAGAAGCTTTTTAGGCCTGCGGGCCCCAAACCAAGAACCGGAACTGCAAACACTACAACCAAAAAAACGCAAAAACCCAAACGTGAGCGCCGAGACCGGATGCAGGAGTAGCCGGCTCTGCGGCGTCGACTTGTCTGGAGAGCGGACTCCCACCGGAGAATCGATCCTACCTGCAGGACAGCCCAAGCTAGCGTCGGCAGAAAACGGAAGTGACACTTCGTAACCGTTGTATGAGAGTCCCGGCAAGACTCTCCATCGTGGTGGCGCGTGGCCGGCTGTATTTCGTCATACCGGCCCGATGAATTGATCCCCGCAAGGCCACGCCACTGACTCCAAAACTCCTTAAACCCTAAACTCGCCAAGCTTGTCCCAGTTTTCAGTGCCATTGGAACCCTAAACCCTAAACTAAAGTCACTGTGCCAGGACAGTAACGGGCAGGAGCTTGCTTTGGGCCTCTTAGAGTACGACTGGCCCTCAGCCCGATTGGTGACGCAGAGCCTCGGCTTCTTCGGGTTTCGGGGAAAACGGGGGGCTTTTAGAGTGTAGGGTTTAGGGTTTAGGGAAAAACGGGGGACTTTTAGAGTTCAGGGTTAAAGCGATCTTCGGCCTTTGGCCGACAGACCATCATCGACAGAGCATCCTCTGCAGAATTCGGGAGGTTTCGGTGGTTTCAGGGCTTCTCCGCGTGTCGAGCTGGGCAGTCAGGTCTGCGAACAGTGAAAGTCGAAACCCAGAGCTTGCACGTTGCAGCTTCCAGCTGCAAGACTTCAGCGGCAAATGGGAGTTTCCGAACACAAGGGGTACCTTATTTTGGGGTCCTGATAATAGGGATCCTACTATTTAGGGTACCATATTAGGTCCCCTATTTTCGGAAACTCCCAAATAGCAGATTCACAGAAAGAGCAAGAGTCGAGGGGAGAGAGCCGCTTTGCCGTGTTATTGCTGTTCGTGTTATGGTACGTAGACGGTTCGCCAGGCTGTAGGACGTGTCGCACCAGCACAAGTATATAGATGAATGATTATCGTTTTGTCTGGCAGTGATGGCACTGATGGTGGTGAGGGTATTGATGGCGGCGGCAGTTGTAAAAGAGACTGCCAATGTGAAGCACGGGCCTCATGGTTCAAATCCCGAAACGCCGGCTGTGAGGATCGCCGCTATCTTGCTGGAGGAGCAGTTGGGCTACCATGTGTCCTTTGAGCACCGTACCTCCAGCTTCATCGAGTCTTTGCGTCAGCTCGCCGGATGTGCAGAGGGCGAAGGCCCCTAAACCCTAAACCCTGAACCCTAAACCCTAAACTTTAAACCCTAAACCCTAAACCCTGAACCCTCAACCCTAAACCCTAAACCCTAAGTGCCTTCTGTCCTTGCTAAGTAGGAGGCAAAAAATTGAAGGCACTGGTATTCTGGGACCTGGTCCTGACGGTGTCCCACGAACCCTCCAAGGAGACGTTGTGAGGCCATGCTCCGCCGAAGTGCGCTGCCATGTGGCCTTGGACAGCCCTGTCGGAAGAAACGAGCACCTTGGATGAAATACAGCATGGATCGCGCTGAATTAAGGTTTCGTTAGATGTGTTTTTCTCGAGCAGTTCTACTAACACAGCCAACATTCAATGCCGATCCATTGATGTTGTTTTTGCAGAGGTTTACGCAACTGGCCTTCCGGGCAGCAACGCCGTTCACGTCGCCTGAAGATGTCGGGAGCATGGGCTACTTTAGTGAGCAGAACCTCGCAGTGTCCTCTACGATCCATGCTGCTGCCTATGAGGACGGGTTCAGCATGACTCGTGCACCCAAAGGCTGTTCATGAAACTGTCATCATCTGTTCGCTTGGTGAAACGATGATGTGCTGAGCTGACAGTATGTGTTGACTGCCATGTCTCGGCTTCATGGTGTTACGTGCGGTCGGGATGCATGACGGAGATGTGATGATCAAGAACTTCCGCGCAGCGAAACCCGACTGAATTGGAGCATGATGTAGGTGATGACAAGAGACAAGACGGTGAGTGATGGTGCAAACAGGAAGGTGACCGATGCTTCGTTCGATAGTGACGGCCTTCCGAAAGGACCACCTAGTGGTGTTCGATAGCAAGAACACATCCGTTGAAGATGGATCGCCATACCCCTGAAGCCCTAACCCCTGAACCAGACTTCACCCCGCCTATTGGAGGACAGCGGGTTGGCCCTCGATTACTATCTGACCTACAACCAAAGCCTGATCAACAAGCAACTTTGATGACAAAACCATGGTTTGCTTCGGGCTTCGGACGTTGAAGTAAGCATCAGACCCTCAACTTTAAACCCTACTGTAAAGCCCTCTTCCGAGTTGGCCTTGTCATTTCTGATGTGATTGTGCATACAAGGAAAGAACCTTAAATTATAGTAGGATCCCTAATATGATTTAAGGTATATTCCTTAATTAAGGGGTATTGGAGTCCCTGGGAATCTACACCCTAAACCCTAAACCCCCCAAACAAATCCCCAATCGTTCAAGAACAGGAAGGGGACGAGACTTCGAGCTTCGCGGCTTTCCTTTCAGACAGATGGTGGTAAGGCCCAGGGTCTAACCCGGGGCATCTTCACCCCTTCAAACACCTTTGAGCCAAGCTCTGGTTCTGATTTGTTGCATGGCCGTTTGTTTTTCCTTCGTGGGCCCGTGCATTCCTGTTAGCAGTAGTTACGGTGTCTGCTATGCTACCGGCAGAAGTGTTCTGCCTCCGAAAACGCCTGAGCCGTCCACCCTCGTGTTGTGCTCAGGTACAGGCCACTCTTTAGACCCACGGCCTACTTCGACAAGCTCTCGGAGGTCGACCTCGCCGAGATCTTCGAGTGCACTGACGCCGGACTCGAGTGCTCCGGACTTCAGAGAGCCCTGCAAGGGGTGTTAGGGTTTGGAGCTTAGCGGCTTTGGGTTTTGAGAGGTTTGGGGTTTGTGGCAAAAAGGGTTGAGAGGTGGAGCCTTGAGCTGAAGAAGGCTGTTTTGATGTTCGGTTTGATTGGCACTGCTGTTGCTACGCGTCGGGAAGAAGGGCTCAGAGCGGTTTATAGTCGTAGGGCTCACATCCGTCTTATTCTCAACTATGTCATTAGATCATTAATCTCATTCTTATTATTGTTACAATTATGATTTTTGTCATTAATATTGTTATACGTCCTGGAGTTGCAACATACTTGCTCGTGTTATTCTTGCTAGTGTTCAGAGATGGATGATGCGGCAGAGAGAGACGGTTATGAAGAATTCTGAGCCGACAAGACCTAGAATTTTAGGGTTCCTTATTATGGTATAT